CCTGCACCATGCTACCGTTGGCCATGCTTGCCAAGCCCGGCTGTGAGTGAGAAGGGGATTTGGGGTGAAAGAGGAAGCGCTAGGATTGCGCTTTGAGGGAGTGAGGTTGAGAGTTGTGGTGTTGGTGTTGGAGTCGGAAGCAAGAGGAGGGAGGAGGGAGGAGCGGTGGAGCCGGTTGGGAGGCCGCCTGCCTTGCAACACGGGCCAACCGAGAGTAAGAGAGCCGAGCTCGGCCAAGAAGCCGGGTGTTGGCCAAAATGCGGGGCTTTTCGCTTCGGCTCGGTCGAGCCCTTGATGTCCGGAATACCCGAATGCCGCCCTTTGCCCCCACCCGACCGAGCCCCCCACTCTGCCGATCTCACATACAGCAACATTTTCCCCTGTCGTCGAGCTCCACCATCTTGACCCACACACATATACACGCTTTGCAAGTCTGGTTCGTTCGGAATCATGTATATGGCAGAAGAATAATGCAGGATGTTGTCGGCATCCGCCGTGCGCCCAAACCCCTGCCTTAGGCCTTGGGACCGGCAGCGGCGACCTCGGCGGAGACGTCGTTGGCGTACTTTTCAAAGTTGGTGCTGAACATCTCGGCGAGCTTGTTGAGCTCGTGCTTGAACGCGCTCTTGTCTGGCCACGAGGTGGCGGGGTTGAGCAGCGTCTCGGGCACACCCTCGATGGCCGTGGGGATCTGCAGGTTGAACACGCCGAACTTCTCAAAGCTCGCCTTGGCGAGCGAGCCGTCGTGGATGGCGTCGATGATCTTGCGCGTGTACTTGAGCGGGCAGCGCTGGCCAACGCCAAACTTGCCGCCGGCCCAACCGGTGTTGACGAGCCAGACGTCCGCCTTGTGCTTCTCCATGCGCTCCGCAAGCATCTTGGCGTACACGCGAGGGTGCAGCACGATGAAGGGCTGGCCGTAGCACGTGGAGAAGGTGGGCGAGGGCTCCTGGATGCCGTCCTCGGTACCGGGCGTCTTGGAGGTGTAACCGGAGATGAAGTGGTACTGCGCCTGGTTGGCGTCGAGCTTCGACACGGGCGGCAGCACACCGTAGGCGTCGCAGGTGAGGAAGATGATGTTCTTGGGCGGCGTGTTGGCCATGCAGGGGATCTTGGCGTTGGGGATAAATTCGATGGGGTACGAGCAGCGCGTGTTCTCGGTGATGATGGCGTCGTCGTAGTCGACCTCGCGCGTGTTCTTGTCGTACACGACGTTCTCGAGCACGGCGCCGAAGCGCACCGCGTTGAAGATCTCGGGCTCCTTGGAGGCCGAGAGGCCGATGCACTTGGCGTAGCAGCCGCCCTCGATGTTGAACACACCCTCGTCCGACCACACGTGCTCGTCGTCGCCGATGAGCGCACGCTTGGGGTCGGCCGAGAGCGTCGTCTTGCCCGTTCCCGAGAGACCGAAGAAGAGCGAGACGTCGCCGTCGGGGCCCTCGTTGGCGGACGAGTGGAGCGAGAGCTGGTTGTACTTGACGGGCATGAGGTAGTGCATGACCGAGAAGATGCCCTTCTTCATCTCGCCGGCGTACTCGGTGCCGAGGATGACCATCTCGTGGCGCTTGAAGTTGACCTCGACCGAGGTGGTGGAGGTCATGCCGGCGGTGAAGCGGTTGGCGGGGAACTGGCCGGCGTTGTAGATGATGAAGTCGGGCTCGCCAAAGTGCTCGAGCTCCTCCTGGGTAGGGCGGATGAGCATGTTGTGCATGAAGAGCGCGTGGTAGGCACGGCCGCAAATGATGCGGACCTTGATGCGGTACTTGGGGTCCCAGCCGGCGAAGCCGTCAAAGACGTAGATGTCGTCGCGCGTGTTGAGGTAGTCGATGGCACGCTCGCGGTTGATCTCAAACGTGTGCTCGTCCATCTTGATGTTGACGGGGCCCCACCAGACGTGGTCCTTGGAGGTCTCCTCGTAGACGATGCGCTTGTCCTTGGGCGAACGGCCGGTCTTCTTGCCCGAGTAGTTGATGAGCGCACCGGCGGACGAGATGACGGCGCCCTCCTTCTTGATGGCGTCCTCGTACAGCTGGGCTACGGAGGCGTTGCGCTTGAGGTGGATCTTGTCCATGTCGAAGCCGGCATCGGAGAAGAGCTTGAGATCCGAGCCGAGCAGCGAGTAGTGCGGGTTGTGAGTGGGCAGCTCATCGTGGTGGTTTCCTGGCGAAGTCATGTTGGGCGAGAGAGCGGCAAGGCTGGGTTGGCAATGGCGATGGCGATGGAGAGTGTCTAGATAGACGAGCGAGGAGGTGTGATGGAAGAGAGAAGGAGTGAGGTTGCACGAGGCCCAGATGAAGAGGGAGTGTTGCGTTGGGTGTGCGGATCGGCAGCGAACGGAAGCGCAGAGGCAGAGAGGGGGGGGGGGGGGA